TTTGACATGTATGGCGCAACCGTGTCTACACATGTCACGTCCCATGCTAGGCACAATCCACGTTTCCAGGCAAATGCCGTGCAGCCGTCCGGACGGCGCTCCGTGGTGTGAGAAGTACCACGAGGCTCCAGTTTTGCAGGCACGCCGGCAGATATACATGCTCGACAAATGATGCTATTTAATCCGCCGTGACGCGGGTGTCTTCCGGCGGAGAAGACACATGACAGCCCATGATGCCCGTAACCATCTACGCGTTTGAGACATTTGACGCAATCATGAGGTTTGCAAATCGTGGCGCTAAGGCAAAGACCAACACTGATCATGAGTTCGTCGTCTCCCGGCAGGTTGCCGATGTGGGCGGAAAGTTGTGCGTTTAAACAGATGCCGGCTTCTGGCCTAGACTGGGCAAGCAGGCGTGCTGTGTTGACTTCATCGCCCTCGAACACCTGCAACAAAGTAGAAAGGGAAACGTTACATAAAGGCATGTCTCACGGCTTTTGAGACTTCCGGAACGCGGGTTCGGGAATTTCGACCTGACGGGCTTTCAGTTTCCAGGACTCCACTGCGCCGGCGACGTCGGTAATATCGTGGGTATGGAGCAGCGCGGACAGCAAACCGGAAACAGAATTGAATCGAAGTCAGGAAGGCTGGTAGGGATAATTCTTCTGACCGGCGGATGCCAATTCCATCTCTGCTAACTGGGAGTGTTACTTGACCCCAAGGCGGGAGTCGTTGTGGTTGGTCCGTACGTTCGAGATTTTTCTTGCAGTTTCACTTAAGCTTTTTGTTACTGTAACGATACGGTCGCATAAACCGAAGGCAGAGCCAAAGGCGACGCCGAGCTGCGGCGCGAGCAAGCGCAGCGCAGCGAGCGGAGCAGCAAGTAAAACGAGCGGATTCTATTGTACTGCTGTTCTGAAGAGATTCTCCTTACAGTTCAGGTTAAACTTTTGTTACCGTGATGATACGGAAGTGGAAACCGAAGGCGGAGCCGAAGGCTACGCCGAGCTGCGGCGCGAGCAAGCGCAGCGCAGCGAGCGGAGCAGCAAGTAAAACAAGAAGATTCTATTGTCCTACTATTCCGAAGAGATTCTTCTTACAGTTCAGCTTAACCCTTTTGTTACATGATTATACGGTAGCAAACTACCGTTTCCACCGAAACCGAAGGCAAAGCCAAAGGCGATGCCGAGCTGCGGCGCGAGGGAGCGCAGCATAATGAGCGGAGGAGCAAATAAAACGAAAGGATTCTATTGCTCTTTTATTTAAAAGAGATTCTTCTTATAGTTCCGCTTGAACTTTTTGTTACCGTGTTGATACAGAAGTCGAAACCGAAGGCGGAGAAAAAAGCTACGCCGAGCTGCGGCGAAAGCATGCGCAGCGCAGCGAGCAGCAACTAAAACAAAAGCATTCCGTTGTTCTTTTCATTAAAAAAATTGTTTTTACGGACGAAATTTCCGTTGTCATTCTGAAATTTGCTAGCAAACTATTGTTTCGAGGAAAACCGAAGGCAAATCCGAGCGGCGCCGCAATTGAAGCATCAAATAGAACAATAGATTTATTTTTTCTATTTCAAAATTTTGTTGCAATCTGCATAGAAATTTAGATATCAATTTTGCAAATGAAAACGAATTATTTGATTGCTTGATCGAAGTTTCTCGCTTTGTGCAACAACACCCTATTTCAAACTTCAAAACAGTCTCATCCATAAAGGTTTGTATAAATCTAAATACATAAGTACAAATAAAATAAACCTCAGTGATTGAGAGTTTTGATTCTTTTGTGGAGAAAAAGAAAGGAGATCAGCGTTAAAGGTCATTACTTTTAAATACACCGGTGTTCACAGAAATTTAATGACGTGGCCTTGCCCTCACCAGAATTGCGTATAATAGGTAACTTTCAACACGGTAAGCAGGATGGTGAAATTCCCCGTTTTTGAAACGACTCTTACCAAAATTCACAAATGTTTAAGACTTTCATAAATTAATGTCGACATATTTTTTTGAAAATTACGCGATTCATGAACTTTATTGTAGACCAAAGATTCTGGCAAGCTTAGTCAAATCAACATCCAAGCACTAAAACACTTTTGCACCAGGTGGAGTTGAGTTAGTACGTCAAGACCAAAAACGACATTGGATTGCTAACCATTGTTTTATGCCTGAAACGGTCACTAGGTTTTCAACACCATGGTAAGTAAATATGAGTTACTCGACCGTTATGTTCCAGAATAAAATCGACCGAATTAAACTGAAAGACATAAAAATAACATGGCACCCTTTACCCAAGAAAGTGATCCAGTTGGGAATCGTTACTGCGTTATTGTTACCTACGTTGCTACTGCCCCCGGACATCGAATAAGCTGTTGAAACGATAAATCGTTTGCGTAATAAATCCAGCCAAACCAAGCTTTACGAAAAACATTTTCGTCTCTAAAACAGAAATCTGCGCCGGCGCTTCTCAGATCCTGTGTGGTTACATCGGCATACGCGGTTTGTGTAAATAAGTGTGCCAATTTATTCGCAGCTAAGACAATCTTTCCGTAAATTTGAAAATACTGAAATTTAAATGGCTTCCATGCGCCTAACAACTTGAAAGCAATGACCGGCATCCTAAAGTAAAGAATTTGGTGCGAAATTGACGGCAATGTGCGGTATGGTATTTATATTAGTAGTGCCGCGTCGCAGTTGCTTGCTTGGTCACATCTGATCATATAGCAGTCCATTTGTATCACCAGCGGGGTCGTTATTATCATTTATATCAGTATTATCATCATTGTCACGGAATGAGATGTCTCGAGGTGGCGGCATGCTCGTATCGCGTTGCGCCGCGTGCGGGAGTATGGAGAGACTACCGCTATCCACCAGTCTGCTAAACTCATGCCAGTCAATCACGCCGACTTTCCACTCAGCATTAAACTATTATAAGTAACCGCTTAAGCTGCTTATCGGCCAAAAAATCGGCTCTACAATGTCGAGCGTAACCGCAAACAATATTTTGGCCAATACACAGATCAGTAATTCCTTAGGCTTAGTTAGCTCATGGTTAGCCATCGTTTATTTTTTTCACGCAATTTTCAGCCAACAATAAACCATTTCATCTTACAAAATTCTGAATATAGTTTCTTGGAGCGCATGCACCAGCACGAAGCTCAAATAATATTATACTTTTTTTAACGGAGTCAAAAATAGAAAACATTCAAAAATATATTGTATCGGCATAATTCCGAAAAACGGCATAAAACTAATGATATCATATCGGCATCGTAGCGGTGGCAAAACTGATTTGAGCAGCTCTGCTCATAAGCCTTCCACAGCATATGAAACAGCTACAAAAAGCGTTTAGACTCTCAACTACTACTGTTGCAGTCTTACCCAACCGCGTCTTTACAAGAAAAAAGTTTACACGCTCGCTCGCTTGCACTAAGGGCGGTTACGACCTTTATACTAGTAAAAAAACAAGACCGGGTCAGCATAGGCGAAGTAAGTGCAATGATCTTATCGGCTAGCCATGGCCAGCCGCATGGCAGATAGACCTGGACAGCAGAACAGAACGCCTCATGCTGTCCTGTGGCCGGAGCCAAGCTCATTCTTCTCTCTCAGGCTATGCTCTGTCTAATCTCTATCCTGCAAAACGCGGGCTTGGGTAGCCGGCTCTGGCACACATTGCTGCCGGTCAGTCAGCAAGCCTTTCATTCAGCTGCCGTTTTCCAAAAACTTGTGAAATGGCTTTAAAAATCGATAACTCCATTGTAAAACTTGCTACACTTTCCAAATGGGCATCAGATAATGAGTTATTTTCTAGAAAGCTTATATACCGAGACACTGCCATAGTCCAATAAGGCATGTTTGAATAACTCAAAAAAACACTTTTCAATAAGTGTTTTTCTCGATTTTTTTGTAAACTAACAACATTTTTTATTAGCATGTTGGAGAATATAAGCTTTCTAGGCTAAAACACATCCAGTGATGTGTATCACATCTAATTTGAAAAAACTTTCTCATTCGACTTTTGAATTCAAAGTTTTTCCTTTGTTTCTTGAATAGCTCTGTCCAGAGAGAGCGTAGACAAGATCGCAATACACCATTGTGTAGCCAAACCCTTTGCGCATGCAGTCAGAACAATGGAGACAATGATCTTCCAGTTGTTTTTAACCTATTCATGTTTTCCCAGACCCACTTTCATCTCATAGTGATCCTCTTAATAATTAATGTTGTTATTCTGGCGATTTCTTTTATGCAAGAGCCTTTCTTAAACGAATTTTCTTTGGAGAAAGGAGGCGACGCCGCGTCATATAAACTAATTATTGAGGTACAACGGAATGTGCGATTCATGACCCTCTGAAACACTTAACGGGCAAAATACTTAAGTTTTTTCGCATCCCGACGCTTGCACAGTAATGGCGGTTCGCAAGGTCATCGCAAGACTTAATTAGCAAGAACACGTAGCAAGATTCAGCGAGCACAGCAAGTTGATGAGCAGGAACTCATAAGCGTGGGACAAGAAGCGCGGAAGGCGCGAAGCAAGAAGTGCATAAACACAGGGGCAAGAGCGGAGCAAGCTGCAGCAAGACTTATTTCAAGATACGTATTGTCTGACCTTTGAATGCGGTCGTTATGCAACTGGTATGATGCCAAAAGGAGTAGTCGGTGTCCATGTGAGTCGTGACTGTATATTGACGTGACCGTTCTGGGATGGTGGTTACCTAAGCAATCTTGCCACGGCTCGCAGCTGACTGATAAGTTGTCGTTTTAAATCTGCGTGGTTCTCGGATTTTTTCTCCTTATCTTTTATTTTATCATATTTTCCGTGCTGTTGATGTTGTTATTAGAAATTAGAGTTTGAAATTTACTTGAGCGCACTCATTTCAAGGTTTCCAGCTTCTGATGGCTTGGTTTTTCCGTCACTAATTGTTTTTGTGAACAATCTACATCATGCCAAAACCTCAGACTTCGACAACGGTTACTCAGGGTTCTGGATCCGACCTTTGACTAGCTGACTGCATGAAGCAGACACTGGCCAGAGGAGAGCTGAGCGATGTGCGGTTCACAGTCGGACGTCAATTCGGGCACGAAAAGACGATCCCGGCACACAAGTAAGGACTATCTCGTACCTTTCATACGAGAGTTTGGAGTATGCTTGGCAGTTATACAGAGAAGTTATCATCTCACAGGTTCGTCTTGAGTATCCGCAGTACAGTGTTCCGCACGATGTTTTACGGCAGTCTGCCGGAGCAGTGTCATGATGTTATCGACATTCCCGATATCCATCCAGACGCGTTTACCAATATGCTCAGGTTCCCCTTATTAGGGACACATTCACATTATATTCATTTTCACGTATCTGCGCTATTATTTCCGGTGGTTCTTTGTCGCTTTCCAGTAAAAACCTATCTTAATGTTTAGTTACATGTACACCGATGCTGTGCAGCGTCTCAACGTGGATAACGCGTTCCACACGATGGTCTGCGCTGACAAGTACGATCTGCCGCGGCTAATTAAAGTCTGCTCCGAAATTGTGAAGAGAACTGCTTGGTCTTTTTGGAGCAGGTGTGCTTATACAGACATTTACATAGTTGCGGTGCTTGCAGTGTGGTTATCCTTATTCTGGAATTGTCCCTTCTTCTGTAGGCGCTTCAGGTAGTCGACTGCGGTGGCGAGGATATTGTTAAAGAGTGTCTGGAATGGGTGGATACGCACAGCGATGTCCTACTGCAATCGGAACAGTTCACGGCCATCTCACGAGAAACACTGCAGGCCGTACTGCGCCGCAACACCCTTACGGCTGAGGAGCATGACATTTACCTGGCTGTTGAACGGTAATTCTGCGCAACAAAGCACAGCCGATTTTCATAAGGGCTCACGGTCACCACGGACGTGCAGTTCTTGTATTGTTTGAATGTAGCTGTCAGGAAAATGTCTGTATGTCGCGCATAAAAACACTAAACTTTCTTTCCTCGAATAAAATGACTTTGCTATGCATGTACATACAGCGGAAAACGCAATACTATATTCAGTTGACCCCGCCGACGTCTGCGGTAGACAGCTTCATCTTCATGAAGAAATTTGTATGCTTACTGCAGGTGGGCAGTGGCGGCCTGCGCCGTTAGCGGAATGGATTCTGCATACGCTAATCGGCGTCAGGTCCTGGATACCGCATTGTACCTCGTCCGGTTTCCCTTGCTGACCAACGCTCAACTGGCTAACGGTCCTGGCAAGGTAAGTCGTCGATGTCAGAGATGACATTCACCGCATGCAGCACTGCACTGCAGCATTATGTTCCATTATCCAGAGCGGCTTGCTGAGCCGAGTCGAAATCTTCAGCATCTTCATGTACCGCAATGCTACCGCCAAGCCGTCGCTGCAGTTTCCCACGGAACCACGAACCGGCACGTTCAAGGAGAGAGAACAAATTTTTGTGCATCATCACATAGCACGCCGCTGGGACCCAGCGACAGTTACGGAGATTCATCCACAGTACCTGGTGGTGCGGTGGTGCAGCGGCCAAAAGGCTTGTCGCGTGACACCCGGCAAGGTGATTCGCTCCAAGGACACTATGAAATGTGGCCAGGATGTCATGGCTCTCCGGTTGAACAAATACGAGGCCGCAACGTATGTGAAGCCTCAGGAAAGAGGTCACATTATCAGAATCGCGCAAGGATCAAGCGCGGCTGAGCGAGTATTTCCGTTTGCCAATTTCATGCTTACAGAACAGATGGTTTTGTCATGGAAGACGAGCCACGCGAAATGAGCTCGAGTCGCACGTGTTAGAAAAAGAAAATCTTTTCACTTGTGCACGTCGCACATCTTGTACACGTTGGGGTCCTGGTTTGACTAATTGGTAAACAATCCAGGTGTCCTCTCTTTTCATAATTATCTTGGTCTCCTGTGTGGGCGGCTATTCCGTGGTTATTCTGGTACAGCGTTATACTTGTGCTTTTAACCGTAGTGTGCGGAATACAGCCAACGTTTAATGCCTTTTTTAATCAGTTGATTGTATCCCTACAACGGCAGCGCCAGAAAATAACATCGCATAATAAAAAATCCTTTCCAGTTAATATAGCAAGGAACAATACGAGCATTGCCACGTTGAATCTCGAGGAATAAACGCAGAAATAGAAAACAGGTGGAGCGGCTTTCTCCCGTTCGGGTATGCAGCGACTTTCTCCCAAAAGTCTCAAAAGCTGGCTGGACAAAATAACAACGACAACAAGTAAAATGCACTTCAAATTCTTATCCAAGTACATAAGCCTGCCTGTTACTGGAACGCACGACACCCTTTGTGAAGTTTACTCCATGATAGCGTTACCAGCGTACACCTATAAGAAGACGTTAACGCAGTCCTTGTGAGCTCTGACACAATAAATTTCCCGCAGATGTCAATCTAACCACCGCTTCCTTTGCATTCTACGTACTGTACATTTGTGTATAGGCTGATGCCGAATAAAACTTTATCGATCGGAGCGCAGCGAAGGTCCTCTAATTCAGGCGAAATGAAAACGTGTCTGTCTGTCTGTTTGTTACGGAAGTAACGATGACGTTATACGCGGAAATAAAAAATGACGTAATAGTTTTGCTCGATGATGTCCCTGGCGAATACGGATTAAGAGTGGATGTACGCTGTTTATGTATATACACTGTTGTATTGAGAAGCATCGAACTACGCCATAGGTCATGGATACGACGAAAACGAATACGTAAAAACAAAGCTTTTTTAAACCCAAAAGCGGACATGTCTGCTGTGATGATCGAGTGGCTACTGGCAATCCATCACAGCATATTTTAGCTACTGCAACCACAGATCCGTCCCCAATGTTTTCTAAAACTACCAAAGACTGCCGCCAGCCTGCCAAGGCCTTCGTAACACCAGTACCTGATTTTTGCATACAGTCGAAATTCTGCAATTTTTCTCCAAAATGCGGTCGGCTGAAAAAGTGAACAACCGCACAACGGCCTCTGCGCCTCGCTGCAAGCATTTGCCTCGCGGCATGCCCGTGTGTATGCATGTGACCGGCAAAAATCGCACTCCCATTCCCTGTCTCGGAAAAATGTTTTGCTGCTGTATACCCCATGCCAACAACACCAAAGTGGCACTGGCAACCCTTGGCCCTAATGGTGATACCCAGATCCGGCACATTTCAGATAGTAAGCTGATTTTTCAGGTTAATCTGCGGCTTTCTAAATGCCGTCAGTGTATTACGGTGTTACCGAGGCGGTAACAAGCTAAATTTACAAGAACATAATATGAAAAAGTTTGGCCGATTTAGCTTAAGCTTTGATATGAGGGAATTTATTACCGGGATGTGCCATTTAGCGTACGGAATTTATGAAAAAGTTATATGAAAAAGTTTGGCCGATTTAGCTTAAGCTTTGATATGAGGGAATTTATTACCGGGATGTGCCATTTAGCGTACGGAATGGGGAATAGCATTCTTTAGTGGTCAGTTGTCTGGCACTGCTGTGGAAGGGTATCCGAGCCAAATAATTGTCGAAGTGTAATGGTAACTACCTATCCGACAATGGTGACCTAACTGCATTAGTAAACTGAACGGCAGCCTGTATAGAAAACATATGTACAGTACGTCGATAGATTGGGGTGCACAACCGCCCTCATACCGGACGCCTATTCTAACACTCGAGATCACGCCTCCCTTATCAGCCAAAAATTTCAACGCTCCCACTCTAAATATCTCTTTCTGCCTTTGAGCTGAATTTCAGGTGCAACGCTAGCCACACGCTTGCTGTGGTTTTTAAAAGTTCCAGAAATTGGATGGGTGGATTGCCCAGAAATCATGCTTTCCATGCTCTAACCTGGTAGGTATTTTGGCTAACGGGTTCCAGCATTGTGTGACATTCAGGGGCACGGAGCAAAAATTCTATACCCCTCTGCCAGTTACGGACCACTTTTGGGTGACGTGCTTTTGGCCACATACGTTTTTGTCGGTTTACCGACTAAACGTCCACCGGATGTCTTTGACGTCCGAAAGTTTTGGTCGGTAACACATGCACATTCGGACATGCTACCACACTAAATCTGCTATGTTATTTTCTGTTCTGCACATTCAAAAACAAACTTTTCCAAAATTAGCCGTTACAGACACTTTCAGTCTTTAACCCTAATAAGAGCTGCGCTCCGGTCTACCAATGCACAGTTCGGTGCATTTTCCTAGTACTAAGTATAAAGTTACTCATTTTAAAATATTAGTGTAAACCAGCGGAAGCATACCGATATGTGCATTGGCTGTTGCCCATTAAAGAAAAAAGTATAAAGTTTGAAGTACTCTGTACATTACAACTGGCCTGCTGCTTTCTCATCGAAACAGAACGACAACATAATAGACACGCGGTTTACCACGGACTGCCTCCCCAAGGCGTACGCGTTAGGTAAAATTTTTATCTCCGAAGTGACCAATGCCTGACCATCGGCACAGACAAGGATTTCACCAGCCCACCGGGTGGCGCTTCACTTTAAGTGTTGACCCATCCGCCCCACAATTGACGGCTACGTTGAAAATGCACTCTCCAGCTGCACGCCAGCTTCCTCTGTCGATTGGGGATCGATTATTTCATTCAGTAAATGCTGTAGAAGTACGGAATTCAAATTTTTTTATTGAGCACTTGTTTTCTCCAGTTTAAATCCTTATCCTTCTGCATTTCACGATCCGCGTTGACGGCGTTGTTCCTGTAATTTTAGCTCCGCTGCTGATGCCATCTGAAACAGCTGGAGTGCTGAGTCTGATCTGCGCTGATACGGCATCTTTTCCTTGCGGAGCGTTTTCTTCAGCTTCGTGCAGCTGTGCGGATAGTTCGTGCACCTCCATGGCGTCCACAGACTCCCCACAATTCCCTTCATCGAGCGTTTCTCGACCAGCTTCGGGAATTATCAACTGTATTAAGCAGACGTTACTTAGCGGAAAATTCAGTGATGTGCAGTTTTCTGTGGGGCGCCACTTCGGACCTGTAAAAATTTTTGCAGCCCACAAGTAATCATCAACCATTCATTACTGCACTTAACAATATATATTGTAATTAATTTCGTCAACACCAGGCTATGTTCATTCACACCGAATTTTGCATAAATACAGCCTTATACAGGTATATCTTGAGTATCCGCAGCACCGTCTTCCACACCATGTTTCACGGCAGCATGCCTGAAAAATGTGACGAGTACATCGATATTCCTGACTTCCTTCCCGACGCCTTTGCTAATATGCTTAGGTACGAGATGTACGATCGACCGTGTGAGCACTGAGCAGCGAAGCAAAATGATTGTAATTTATGTTTTTATGGCTTAAGCTTGTTTTTGTAATAATTATAGCAAATTTTTATGATTATTACACAAATTTTTATGATTATTACAACAAACGTATTAGCGTATCAAATATACAGTACCTAATAATCCAACAAATAATAATCAAATATATTCAAATAACAATCAAATATATAGCGCGCAGGCATTTTGTTATGTGTAGTGGGTCATTGCCAATAAAAAATTGTTAAATATAATAATATTATATTATATGTATTATGTACTTAAATATACAGTATATGCACATAGATATACAGTAGTAACTGTATTCTAGGATGTATTAATAGTTCTACTATAATCTGTATGTTTTTATTATCGAATACATAATATCTTGTTAAATAGAAATAATAAACTAACATGTAATTAGAACTTATAATAATTTTTTGTTTCCCTTCTAGTTATATGTATACCGATACAGTGGATCATCTCACGCAGGATAACGTCTTCCCGACCATCAGCTGCGCTGATAAATACGATCTTCCCCAGCTGACAGCCATTTGCAGTGAATTTGTTATTCTCCACCTCAAGCTCACAAATTGTCTGAACACTCTGTGTCAGGTTCGTTACCGTATATTCTAGTGCAACACGTGTCGGAGAATTCGTTCAGTACGGTCCATTGTCAGTGTATAGTTAAACAGTAACGTTGGTATTTTAGGCAGTACAGTGCGGTGCGGATGGTGTCGTGGAAAACTGTCTGCGCATGGTGGATGTGCATAGTGAAGTGATTCTGCGATCCGACGAGTTTACTTCCCTCAGTCCGGATGTACTGCACACCATACTGAAGCGTAATGCGTTGTCGGCTGGGGAGTACGACATCTACTTGGCCGTTGAAAGGTTCGGATAAAGCTCGTAAAAGAAAACTCGGCATAATCAAACACCAAGTAATAACAACAAAATGTGCTGCTCTAGCAGTTTGTTCTCATACTTCTGTGCATTTGGACGAGCAGCCCTCACACTAAAATACATATAAATGATGAATTATACATATAAATTATGAACCTCCACCGTTGGCATGGCCGCATGGGAAGGCACCGTATAACACTCTAATGATGACATTGTTGCGCATAATCTCCAAACGTTAACGTTGAAACTAGCTTTGGAGAGGCTACAGTAAAAATATTTCCTTTAAAAATACAAATCAAAAGATAAATAAATAAAATTATTGAAGAAAATATCATTACTTAGATTAAATCAAACAAATATTTCAGCTATTATCGATTGATTTAGCGCGTCTTTACTCGTAAATTTAACAGAATCGGATTAAAATTTTGGAAAAAAAAATTAGAAAAACTGAAAGCGATTCGAAAAATGGATATGCGAATTTGCAATAATAATAAAGTGTAGCAGTTCGCTTTATGCAGGTGGGCAGCGGCGGCGTGCGCCCGGGACGGCATAGATCCAACCGCCGCTAATCGTCGTCAGGTGCTGGGGGAAGCCCTGTTCCTGGTGCGGTTCCCTCTGTTAACGAATCATGAACTAGCCGATGGACCTGGCAAGGTAACTTGAAACGTGCTGCTAATAATACTGGGTGATAAGCGCGTTCACGTGCTGCTAATAATACTGGGTGATAAGCGCGTTCTATTGCGTTCCTTAAACAGCGGTTAATAAAAAGTTTAATTTGGCAGTTATTAAGGGAAATGCTACGGCCGTATTGAGTATATGAACCCTGTTACTTGTGTTGCGGCAGAGTGGTTTGCTGAGTGAAGCGCAAATCTTGGGAATTTTCATGCACCAGTTTGCCACCGTGAAGCCGCCACTGCCGTTCCCCATGGAGCGTCGCACGGGCTTCAAAATAACCGTGACGATGGACGAGCCCGTTTTCGCGCAGTTTTCGCGACAATTTTGGTGTCCGGCGGAAGTGAGCGGCTTCATGGCCGGGGAAATGGTGGTGGTGACGTGGTGCAGCAGCGGCGTGGAAGACACTGTCAAGGACGAGAAGGTGGTGCGGGCGGCGGACATCCTGACGAACGGTCAGTGGGTGGAGGCGCTCATACAGGGAAACCACCGTTCTGCCGTGTATAAGAGTGCCGAAGCCGACGCGCGCCATCTCGTCACCTATGACGGCGCGGACTGGTTGGTGGGCTTTGCGGATTTGCGGATGCGCGATGCCCAGGCCGTTGAGTGGATAAAGAGCAGTCGGCGATGATCATGGTCGCCGAAGCTGAGGGCATCCGTTTCTGTTGTAGGTTTCCCTTTGAATCGCATGTTTCTTGGCGTATCGTATTCGGGGCAGGATAACGGCCTCGTGTTTCTACTTATTCTTAGGGATCGTCTCATATCTATAGCGTATCGCGCTACGATACAGTACCGTAGCTAGTTTCGTTATGGTACAGAAATGGGACAGTCTTTGGTGCGCGTCAGCAAGGTACAGTACAGGCTACGCGCATCGAAACTGTGCTCGCTATCGGTTTCCTGTATCGAATCTGTAGCTTTGTTGCCGTATCGCTGTACTTGCGTCTCACCGCTTCGATCGCATCTTGCCGCGCATAACGTTTTCTGTACAAGAACCTATCAGTCCGTACGTTCTCGCTTTTTAACGTCGAAGTTCGGGCAAAATCTTTCAAAGTTATGTTTTTTGGTTGAAAGTGGCCTGATTATCGCGCTGTAGCTAACGTATGTGGTACCTGCCTATCGGTTTTTCTTCGCAGACCGCAGTTATCTGTGGACGGCAGCTGAAGTTCTTCGTCAAATTTCCCCAGCTTTCAAAGCCTTCGTGAGCAAAAGTAAAAGTGCCACTGGTCATGATAAGCAGTATTGTAACATCGTAAAATCGTTCAGTAATTACGGTTAACGGCACTTACATGTCACAGCAATACAGTATTTGGAATCATACTCCATTTTGAAAAATTTTCCATAAACACGAAAGAAAATGAAATCTCATTCCAGTGGTTACACGAAAAAGTTCTTATAAAATTTTTATAACAGAGATACCAGGGAAAGCCACCTCTGGAGGTGGCTTCGCGTACCGTATCGTTTTTCTTTGTTTTCGACGGTATGCGAAAAAAAGGCGCTCACCATTTCCGCTTGATATGAGACGCAGGGTTAGTACAGGTTACGAGATACGTTGCGCGAAGCATCGTATCTACCCGTTGCGAATACGGGACGCTCTGGGATACGCTGCGTACCTCCGTCCCGAATCTTTTCATGGGTAACCAGATGCGCGAATCGAAAACCGGCATACCGTATCCCGTATCTGCTGTTTTGGGACGGTGGGGTACTGTACGGAAGCTAGTTTCGCTATAGATATGAGACGATCCCTTATAGTATTAATAGGTGTGTACGCAGTATTCGTGTTGGGTTATCTTAAATTTGCCCTACAAACTCTTGATCTGTCTTGAATTAAGCGGTTGTCTCGCTGTGTACTGACCAATCATCCAACTCCCGTTAATCGGGTTATCTGTTTCTCATGGGAAAACTGCTTGAGTACCTGTGCTTCGTGTGTGACAATAACAGGTTGATGAATAATGCACACAACTTGATCATTAATGAAATAACAGCGGCGCCATAATATTCTCCGTTGCGTCTTCCACACTTCAGAATAATATGTATCAATTCTTTAGTAGTAATCGATACAAAATTAATCAACATTTCCCCTAACGAGAATACATTTTCATTTAGAATGGTCATAGCTCGCGACCCCTGCGTCTTTGGCTGAATAAAAACATTGTCAGAAAACGATGTGCGCGTTTTGCTTAAACCTCAGATACGATAAATCCCATAGGTCAAACACTCAAAGCATTCGGATACAAACCATTTCAAACAACGAGTACGAAGTATGAACAGCTATATCGCAATACACACTCCCTAATTTAATAGCGAGTTTATTGCTTGTTTCTTCGAAGCATTGCCATTGTTTGTGGTAATGCAGCGACAGTGTACAGTAATTTGGGCACTGTGACCCGTGATAAACCGCTTCGTAATACGCAGGACGGTATTGGATGTTTTGGCTTGCTTCCTTGGCCGCGGCTGGCTACGCAGATTATAATACGTATTACGATGCTGCTGATTTTGAGCAGATTTCACTACAGACCCCTGTTCTCAGTCGGTGAAATTGTAATGCACATCTTAGATGCGCATTACAATTTCACCGACTGAGACTGATTTCGCAGTTTTGTCAAATCCGAACAACGTCAGGAGAACGGCAATGAATGGAAAAATTATTCCTTTGTTCCTGTTTAAGAACGCCAGTGAGAAGCCCGCACTGGCGTTCACCACAGAGCACCGCACGGTTCGCCGAAATATTAATGATTTGCAGTATTTCGTATTTCGAGAACGTATTTGCCTTCCATCCAGCCGCGAACTGGTGATTGCCGGGAGTCATCAACGGACTGGACCAAACGGAAGTGATGGTCACGTGGTGCCGGGGAAACAATGCAGGTGATAACAACGGACCGGGTGCTGCGTGCCGCGTACATCCTACACTCTGGCCAGATACTGTATTCCAAGAGCTTGAAGGATTACGTAGTGTATGTATGTCAGTGCAATAGGGAACGACCGGCACAGGGTGGATGCGAAGGGGAGGAACGTTGCTGCACTGGTCGGGCATGAAACTGGCCGCCGCCGATCATACAGTATGCCTTCCTGGAATAGTCGGTGCGTTTGACCGATGAGGCAGCGCATGATACGGCTGTCGGCAACTGCTTTTTGCTGGTTGTGCAGACTTTGTGAACAAAACAGTTTGACCATGTAACATATCTGCAAGTAATTTAACATCGAATACCGACATCGCGGGCGACATGGTACTGTATCTATAAAATGTAAAAGCCAAAGGTGCATATTTTAGTGGCTGATTTCGGCGGGGAGTATTGTTAAAGTATGTGACTGGGACGGAGTGGGACTGTGAGTCCGTCTGACTGGGACCATCTGTGACTGTGACCGTCTGTGACTGTGTCAGACTGGCCTGGAAGCGATTGGGATTGTGACCATAAATTTTGGGACTGGGACTAATGTTTGTTACATTCCGCCAAATTGACTGAAACTGCACTTCCGGTCAGTTTTTTACTTAAGTTATTCTTATTAACAAGTTGAGGCTTATGCACTGTGACGGAATATAGCTGTACTAGTACGTACATTACGGCTTTGCTCGTACTTGCTCCTTGCAGTTTCTAGAATGTTCTCTTTCATTTTGGGTTATGTTTGGTTTTTACACAGATGCGCTTCGCGCTTATTTAAGTCCGTGAGTGTCAGTACTTTGGTTTGGATCAGCTGTTCTGTTATTCAGGGTTTGGCCCTTTCGCAGTGATTATTCAATTTATCGTCGGAGATGCAGGTTTTCGCTTCGCGTAGATTCTTAGAATCAGCTATGCCACATTGAGATATTAGTTCGATCGTAAAAAGGATGATTTCTCTAAAATATTAATGCAGCAAGCGTTTGGTTCAGTGCAGCTTTGAATTAGTATAATCTTTGTAGAAAGTCTGTAATATCTTACCCTGGGTAATTGCAGATAAGTCGTAATGTCCAACGTCGTTCAGTTCAACTGTACTTCCGCTTACTGGATATGAGAACCAAAAGAAAAGTATCGACGAAATTCTTTGCCAAGCTACTGCAGCGCCATCTTGTGTCAGTACTGCATGCCATCAAAAGTTGCCGTACGTTAGTTAAAAGTTAAAACCAAAATCGATTACGCTGCTACAGGCAAATTACATATTTCACTGTGACAAAATATTGAAAGCGGGTTGATTTTTGTTTTCGAAAAAAACCAGTGGAATAATGCAATTGCAAGTTAAGGCCGTGCTTCTAATAGAAGCACGGCATTATAGGTATTGGCTACCATCTGCGATCCCGAAGCTGCAAACGAGAAGCTACAGGAGATGACAGCTAGCTGCTATACTTATATTAGATAATAATTAACAATAACAACTTAATAATTAACAACCGTTAACTAAGTTAGATCTTGCCATTGAAAAGCTCGAAGACGTCTGTTGCAGCAGCACGGCTTCTCAGGGCTCCAAAGGTACAGGTCACCAAAGCTGCGCTGACGAGGAGCCTCCTCGTCAGCGCAGCTTTGGTGGGCTGTGACTCCCTTTGCGACCCATATGCCTGCTGCTCCTCCACTAACTGCTCCAATGACCAGGGCTCGTTCTTGGACTGTACTTGTTGTAGTTAGTTTACTTCGATTTGTTACCAATCGAAGTACACCAACTCCAACAAGGGCAGTCCAAGAATCCGTGTACGATCCGTGTACATGTACGAATCCGATCCCAGTACCGATTATTTCGCTGGTACAAGATGCCATCGACACGCCGTGACGTCAAACGCAAAGGAAGCCTTCTGCCATCTGTGCGAATTCGCTGACGCAATATAATTACTGCAAAATAGGTTATCGTTAACCAGCAAGTAAAGAAAACTGGTAGCAGCGGCCTTGCCTTACATACGAGAACAATACATAATAATATTGTATGCTAACTTTTCAGGAGTGCTGCAGTTCAAGCTTATCCGGCTATTAAACGCTAGGCCAAATTTGTACGTGAAGCTTTTACACTAATTTACTGTTACACTTTACACTTTACTTTTGACTTACGATGTCAGGGTTTTGTGGGAGTACAGTAACTCATGAAGTGAACGAAATGAATGTAGGAAGTATATGCTTAATATACTCAATATCGCTACATACTGTAAGTTAAAATTCGCATGTTTCCAGAAGAAGACTGTGTTATATACTTATATTTGCTCTCAAAATTTATAACTTAAGATACTTCTATTACCCTTTTAACGCGAAGTGGCTAGCAACTCGGTCCTTCTGCGGAAACGGGCATACCGTCGACGCGTTACACTTTTAGGCAAAACCGTAGCATATGACACATACAGAAATGATTTTTGTACTTTAAAATGGGTTCAGTAATAGTACCGCATTTGTTGTTACTGAGAAATCAGCTTTTAAAGTGAAAAATTTGAAGTCGATTTTTACAGAGTAGAGATGTGAAAAAAAATATTCTGAAACGGCAGTTTTGTAGAGTGAAGTATTAGAAGCTTATTATACGGACAGAATTCTGATTGATAAAAAACAGAAAAAGAAAAAAAATCGGGGGTGCCAAATAAGTGCTTGGGGCACCCTACCCGTGGATATTTCTGACCATATCTGCCGAACAGAACCCTAAACAGAGATTCTGTCCGTATAATAAGCTCAGGCTGCGGTACTTTATTTATTGCGATTTTATTCGTAATTTTTCGTTTTGCGCTATTGACGTATGGGAGTAGGATCATACGCCGGATGTACGTACGGATGCTGACTGTCCGCCTTCCATCTGCAACGTAAAGGAATATCTAGTCAATCTCTTCTGTGATTTGCTGTTCTCTTTTACTAGCGATGTATATGATGTCATAACGCGAAGTCTATATAAGTTCCTGTTACTTCTAATATCGGTATCAGTAGTCTGAGATTTACTTCTGAGACTGCTTCTAATTACAATTTCCTAGTGTTGTGAACTGTGATGTGAATTGGATAAAGAGACAGCAATACTTGTTCCTTCTGGTGTACATGATCGCTCCTGATTATTGCATAGAATACAGGTTTGCTCGTGACACAATCGTCCTAGCTCTTGCCGATCCTCACAGGACTTACGACCGGAAGTTGTAGTTAGCTCGTTCCTGAGGGATTCCTGATCTTCTCGTGTTCCTGAATCGTTCGTCCTATTTCCACCATAGTTCTTCTGTTACAGTTTGAGAGTATGAGTGCCTACCGATTGAGCATTACAGGCGTGGAAGAGTAAAGATTGTTCATGGAGCCTTAATCGGCGTGAACGCTTATACACGACATGGCGCCCACCGGTGTCTTTTAATTTTCCCGATGTAACAAAAAATTATTGGTGGAAAGTTTGATGGTAGTTTAATTGGTAAAAGTGGTCCGTTTTTGAAAGGCGTCGAACCGCAAAGGTACGCCGAAGGAGGTCAGCGTTCCAGATCTGGCCTAGTTAATTTATTTTCAGCGAGCTTCCTCGCAATTGTGAGCTTCCTCACTGGTGAGCTTCCTCGCCAATTAAATTAATTGCTTAATTTAAATTGGACCGTAGGAAAAACAGTCGAAACCTCAAAGGTCGGCTGTGTTAAGTAAAACTAGTACTGTGTGGGTAATTTCCGGGTTGTCTGCGCAAAGCAGTAACCGCGGGGAATAAAGCGTAATCAGCAGTGTCAGTGCACCTGGCCTGCAGATAAATCAGATAGTGAGCACCGAGCCATTGTCAGTGGCCAGGTGAGATAACGATCTCCAGCTAGACTGATAAAGGCAAGCCGCAAGCGGTAGCCAAAATCAGCAGCTAGAGAGAGTTGACCGTGAAAAGGTAAACACCGGCAAACGGTGATTGACCTGTGAATCTTAAAATTACGGCAGCACGCAAAGTGCAGCTGTGTAATTTTCGAATTTGTTACAGTCGAAACCGCAAAGGTCGACTGTGTTTAAAACTCACTTAACAATTCAAACCTAAAAGGAGGATTGGGAAGTGACGTAGTAGTAATTGCACAATTGCAATTTCGGAAGCAGTAGCACAATCGCTACTGT